CTGATCAGTTTTCCACTTTCTCATAGCACCACAGTCCACATCAATATCTCCTCCTGCACACACACTGCTGCTGGGAAATTGTGCTTAAAATACATTCAAGGAAAAAAGTATATGCCAATCAATAAAAAAAGAAAAAAAATATAAAGATTTCAAGCCAGATCCAATAATATAAATGCTAAAAGCAGCTATTTAAAATGTTGCCAGTCCCTCTTTGTTAACTCTTTCAGATTTGTAATGGTTAACTTAATGCTTTGCATGACATTTCAACATATTTAAGTTCAATTATTCAAATAAAACTCTTATCTACACATTTTACAATTCTTGTACTGTAACTTTCGTCCAGCACTAAACAGGATGTGCAACAGACTGTTTAAAGTAATCTCATCTCACGGTATAAAAGGTCTCATTCAACTCATGAACTATCCAAACAGAAAAAAGAAGAAGAAAAGTCTCCCTTGTTCCTCTAGAAGAGAAACCCTACACTGTCATTCTTCTACCTGCTTCTTTCATTAAGTAACTTGTAGGAGAAATAGATGGCCAACAATGATTTAGGACTTTCCAACACATGCTTGGAATGTAATAACGCAAGTCACATTCAAAGATAAACATACTAACAGCTAAATCACTGTGGTGGGCTAGTAGCCAAAGGGTCTCACTTCTGCACACAATGACAGCTGGACGCTTTGGAGGAACTGAGCTCTGTGTTTGTTCAGTAGTATGTAAAATATAAAACCCGGCCTGTGCTCAAACACGACAAAGTCAGAGAATGACAAAGAAGCATCAAGCAAACTGGAGACTGACAGACGAACATCAGCACATCGGGGAGAAGCTGGACATTTTCTGACAGTTGGGGTTCAGTCAATGCTAGCAGTTTTGGCTTCAGGGGGTCTGCAGAACGCCTGACGCTTATTCACCGTTAAGCAGCTGTTCACCTCACAGACATGTCAACTCACTTCTTGATGACACAAGCGCACGTTCTTATTAGTCAAGTGAGAAACCCCTGTTCACTACGCTGGTACAATGCAGAGAGGGACTGCGAAAAATAAAGTTAACTTCAGTTCAGTCTAAATTGATGCATGAATGAATCAATCAGCACTACCTTGTATCCCTTTTTGGATTGTAAAAGTGATACAAAAATAGCTGTCATAGTCTGTCATACATCAGCCAAAAACATTCAACCTATTAAACAAACATTCTGGCTTCCAAGAGTATTGCTAAAGCAATGTCACATTTCTCATTTCTACGCCAAGACCTGCAAGCACTAGCACAGGTGTAGGTGTATCTCAGTGGGTGGGGTTACACTTGTTTTTTCATATGGGACAAAATAAACAGCTCTAAATGGCTCTCTAATAAGCTCTGATATAGCCTTTAAGAGCATAAAGGAGAGAGAAGCCTGAATGACTTCCACATGACACACAAAACTGGGTAATTATCCTACAGAAGATATATATTATTTCCATACTGTATCGCAATAGACCCAAAACAAAGAACTTATATCAATATTGACAGCATTATGTTGAATTTACTACTGCCCATAACGTAAGATAACTTATCTCCATTGATAACAAAGAGGCAAAAAGTATAGACGGATGTGTTGCTTTGGGTGAGGTGACGCTGATAATGAATAAGGCCTGGCTTGCCCTGGGAATCAGGCTAATGAGTTGGCATTGGTACAGATGGCCTAAAATTAGCCTGAAGGAGGTGGCTCTCTCGTAAATGTCTACAGGGAGTAGCTAATAAGGACAGCACAGTGGGCAAGAAGTTAACTATTTCTGGTAGAGACAGAGATCAGGGCTGACACCCAAAATCACCTTCTCTGTGACTAATAAACTGTTTTGCCTTCATTTGCCAGGGGCAGGTTACTTGAGTACATTCGCTGTCTCTCAACACCAGTTTGTTTCACCTGCCTGATTCATTTACAGATGCTCATACCTGAAAAGTGGCCAGGGATATCAGTCTGCTTAAGGGCTGCTAGCCAGTTTTGGATTTGTGCCTTGCTTAGGGTTTCATTTTTTGGATAAGGCAGGCCTGCTTATTTTCTTCTACGATAATCAAAATCTAATTAAAATTTTTTCCAGATTCAACTTTTGATAAATAAATAATAATACATGTTTAATGCTGGGGAATCAGCATGACTGCTTGTTTTCACAAATGGACTTTTATTTATTTTGTCTTCTTCCCAGATGCAGCCAGGAGTTATACAGTTGGGACTATTTATTCCTGGGAAACAACTTTAGGGAAGATGAGTAATGAGGATCTATTAATTCTTCTATTGCTTATTCTCAATACTGAATAGGACCAATGCTGTGTGTTTAAAGGATTTCACAGTGTGGACTACTTGTAATATGTTTTGTACATGTGGACAAGCCAAAGGATGTTGGCAAGCTAATGCTGGTTGGGACAACATTTACTGAGAATAGGGGCCATGTCAAGGGAAAGTGATTTATTACCAGAGAGGGGATTTAAACAGTGGCCTAGGGAATTGCTATTGGATGACACCAGCGAATCAGCCTTATTTGAAAATGCTGCATCCCATGTGATAGCTCGGACATGTTTTAGTCCAACATTATATAATTCATCCACTCTTAATATCTGTAATACTTTATGCTTTAGCAAAGACTGCAGGCTATGGGCTGTGGGTTATCATGGTAGTCTTGTTGAGCTGCCATGTCATTTTGATTTTGTTTGATTACATCACTGAAATGGGAAATATTTCAAGTGAGATCAGTGAATGAGACACTAAATCCACTGTCCACATCTGCCATTTCACTAGCCAAATACCTATTATATCCCAAATTGCCTCATCCTTCATGAAAACAACGTGCTGGATGAAATCTCACAAATTGATCGTCTGCAATCAATGTTCAATCAATGTTCTCCAAAAAACAGACAATGTTTGTCAGTAATCGGTTATTTTGACACTGAACTTACTTAGAAGTTTATTTTCAAAACAGAGGTATAGAAAATGCCCTTTCTGCATTGGCACTGAATGTGAATTGCAATGTGTGGAACCATCCAATAGGGACGTAATTCCTAGGGATACTGGGCTTAGTATGCACATTATTAATACATAATCTTCTTCTTCTGGCTCGTTCTTATTGCCAACATTCTTGTTGACAGTTGTTATCTATCTGCATGTCTCACTACAACAGGACGTGTGTGACGTGTATTTGTGTAAATTGGAGCCAACATTTCTATATTAGTCGCCTAATGGTAAGCTGAAGGATATTTTAAGACAGATGTACGCTGAGAAAACAAATAACAAACTCTATTTTTGTTTTCAGTAAATTAGTGTTAGATTTAAGGCTGGTTGCCTAAGGTTTAAAGAACTTAAAAAACACAAAACCAGACTTAGAGATAAATGTTTGTCCACTTGCCACTTTACTACCTAGAATATTACAATATTTGAATGTCAGTCTACTTGGAGACATTACAGTCTTATATTTCCCAGAATTCAAAATTGCTTTTCACAACTTGTCAAAAAACTGCCGCTCAGCCTTTCTCTGTTTTGATCCCTCCCTTTATCTCCTCTCAAAGACAAACACACACACATGCTCACATAGTGTAAACAGTGCAATCTACAGTGTATCAGGGCAGTTACTGTTGTACGGCACTATTACAATGTTTACAGTCAATTAAAAGCTTAATCAATTGAAAAGCAGCCAAATATACAGCAGCAGCAGCAGCCTGCCCCTGCTGAAGTGCATTTGCATCAATACATGGCATGTGTATGTATACATGAGCTTCTTTGTGGATACAGTATTAGGTTGTGTGTGTGTGGTGGGTGTGTGTGTGTGTGTGGGGTCAGGTTCCAATAGAGAAACTACACTGTAATAAAGTAACAAGGATGGAGAAACGCGAGCAGGTCTGCGATGAAATGTCAGCAATCAGTTCACTGTGTTCGGGATAATTGAACAACGGCAGACCTTTTCATGTGTCCTGACAGCCAGCAAACATTTTTAGAGACGCTGACGTGAAACAAACTCTTACTAATCTTCCGTGGACCAACAGACCCAGGAGTGACTAGGCAGATGCCCCTGAACTCTCCTCCTCTTGTCCCCCTGAGAACTGCTGTTTTTTTCACCTATTACGCACATCTACTGTATGTTTACCCATCCGTACTCTCAGATGGACACACCTCCCATAAAACAAGTGATAAGACTTAAAGTTCCACTAAAGATTAAGCACTTATTCTGGGGTTAATCATCTCAGAATTTGTACCTGTGTTTACACTTTCTGCCTGTACAGCCCATTGACAGTTTAAATATATCTGTCTGTATTGAAGTCTCAGCAACTGTACATTTACATGTGTTGTTACTTAATGAAAATAAGAAATAGTACCACTACAAGTGGTGATATTAGGGGCATCAGCTAATGCAATAGGTAAATTCATAGTTTACACACTGATAGTATAAAACTGATGTGCAGTAAGTGTTAGAGGGAAAAACCAAGTAAGCCTAATTATAATGACCATCAAATTCAATAGTCTTTCTGTTTACAAGTAGGTTGATATATGTTTTTATATATATAGTAATTCATGAAACTGTATATAAACATGAAAAATAGTCATCCATAAACTGCATTAAACATAGTAGTGATTAGGCCTATGACTGACTCAAGAAATTAAAGATGATTTTAAAATGATAAAGAGCCACGCATTTGATGACTGCATATTAAACAAGGAGGAGGAAGAAGAGTAGCTGAATTCCCCTCTCAAACTTGCCACCATTCGCTAATAACTATACTTTAAATAACTACATGTGATGATTAGAAGAATGCAGGACCTGGTTGGTGATAAAACACTGTGAACTGTCTCTTACAAGCAACTAATCAGATAAAATAGTGCTCTCAATTTTACTTATTCTGAGTCATATTTGCTGGACAGTAGCGGTGTGTTTCCAGTTCAACTCTGCAAGCTGAAATTCCCTATCTCCTCCTTCCACCTTTCTTCTTTCTATCTGTCAAACTTTTCTAAAGAAATGTCACATCCACACGCTCACCTGTGCCGGGCTCCGCGCCTCCGTTGCTCCGACCCGGGCGCCTCAGTGCGTGCTGCCGGCGCTCATGCTCCCACTGAACTGAGGAAGGGAAACAAATGCCGCGTGCCCGAAGAGTCCGATCTGCACGAGCTGCAAGTGAGTGACACTGGACTACAGTCCGCCTCGTGCCATTGGGATGGAGAGAGAGAGACAGAGAGAGAGAGAGAGAGAGAGAGAGAGAGAGAGAGAGGAAGAGGTGATCTATGCTTCCACCTTGTGGCCTTATACTGCAGGTAGACAGACAGACAGACAGACAGACAGATACAGATACACTATCTGTGGCTGAAACAGGACAATGGGGGACCAGAACATCTTATTTGGTCCATATCAAATAATACGGGCAGTGAAAATACTTGATGCTATGAGAAAGCTTGAATATAGAATACCACCTTTTTTCAGATGATATAATTATTATTTTATCAGATGATAAATACCTTTTTGCTTCCTAAACTTTATTAAGCTCCTCCAAGTAACAAACAGGCATCATCAATGGATCAATGGATATGGATGCTAAGCATATACCTAACAATAGATCCATGCAAGCAGCATACCTCTTGGGACTTAAAGTGAGACCTTTTTCACAGCAGTCATTTTGACATGAAATAGTAGGGTAAACACAGCTGTTACTAATAATACTAACAGGGTTGGGAGGATTACTTTAAAAATGTAATGTAACCAAATCCAAGTAGGCTATCACAATATTAAAGTAACTTAATTTGATTACTTCTGTATTTGGATTACCTATATGCAATAAAAACAAGAAAAAGAGATGAAGTACGGATGCAATTGTATTCTATAAGATAACAGAACAATGTAACCTTTGAAAAGAAGAACCAGAAAAGTAGAAAATGTAAAGGTTTTTAGTCTCAAAATGTGTCCTCGGTTTGTGTATTTTTAAAATCGCAATCCTGCTAAATAATCCTAGATTTTACTAAATGTAACTGTAATCTGATTACATATTTTCCCCTGTAACTGTAATGGATTACAGTTGCCCTTTTTTGTATCCTGATTATGTAACTCAGTTAGCCTACATGTAATAAATAATTGATACAATAAATACATTTATTACATAATTTATATATCATGCCATTGAACATCCATCAACTACTGTCTCTATGAAAGTACAAGTTGCTTACTAGCTACTGGCTAAAAGCTAAGAGAATTAATCAGTTAAGATCATTTTAAAGCCTTTCAAGGTTATCTTTTATCTTTTTATTTTAAGCCTCCTTGGTTCTGAAATTAGCTAGCATTAACTTTCCTTTGGTCGAGAGTCCAAAGTTCAGATTCTTGAATTTAATGTAAATAACTATAATTGGCTTAACAAAAAAGACAAGACAAAAGCAAACATGTAAAACCCTTTTTAACCCTTTGTAAGTCTTTTAGCCATGTTTATTTGATGCATGCTGTAGTTATGTAACTAGTTAACCTTTGTAACTTTAGTGTAAATAATTGACATTTGATGATGATTTCGTTGTTAAAAATATAGAAAAAGTGGTGAGTATAGATCTGTTAACATTGTGTGTCCTTTCCTGTAGCAAACTTAGGAGTCATATAATAATCTAATTCGTAATTTTGTAATGGAATCAAATGTCTGATCACTGCAACTGTATTTTTATTTGTCTTGAAGCCCATGAGGGTGATGACTTTTCATTAGAATAAGTGATGAGACCCAATGTCACACAGCTTTTTTTTTAAGGAGCCACAAGCCAATCACGTTTCATATATTCTATTTTATGTCATATGTTGTTTTTTTTCCTTCTTTTTTTTTAACATAAATTCTTCAGAAAATTCAGAAAAAGTAACTACAGCTGTGAAATAAGCATAGTGTAAAAAAAGACTATTTTGCCTCTGAAATGTATTGTTGGATAATAAAGTCGCAGGAAATGGCTAAATACAACCTCTTGTGCTTTACTTTACTAACATTCCTCTATAGATTGTTTAAACAGGGCCCCTGCTGTAGAAATGGTAGCCTATCTGTATTAACATAACTTTATTTTAGATGTTGTCACCATGAGAGACCAACCAAGGGTCTTATCCTGGCAGTTTATGGAGTGTGGCGAGGCAAGGCCACCACACATAGCAGATGTGAGAACCCCTGCCCTTCCCTGCCAATCTTTCCTACTGATTTTCAGGTAGCTGGTGGGTGGGGCAGTGGATCATCAGTGCCAACTGGGAACACCTGTCTAAAACAGTCTATAAAGCCCTGTTATGGCTTTACAAGCCAGATTGTGACACAGTAAATACTGACGGAAATGTGACGTATGTCTCAAAAGGGAACCTGGGCCAGGGGTTGTGTGATTAGTGGTTACTCGCTCTGAGACTAATCCCGGCCCTGTGCAATTATTGCAAGTTTTCAAGTCTGCCCTGCTCCTCAGTCTCACCTCCATGGTAACCTCCTTGTCTAACACCATGGAGACAGAGGGTGCAAGGGAGACAGTTAATCTAAAAAAGATGATGTTCATATTGTGGTCTATGCGAGTATAAAATGTGTAATTAACACCAATACATCATCCCTGTTGTTCAGCTCTCCACCACTGAAATAGTCCAGGTGGGGAAAGAGGCAGTGCCTATGAAAACTGAGTTTATAGCAGGTAGTCTATAAATTACATTAATAAGATTAGTCAGCTAGTGGCTTGGGCAGTATGGATGTATTATGAACCTGTTTCAGAACCATAGAGAACCTCAAGAGGCTCCTACTAATATTAATGGTGCTACCAAATATCAGTTGTGGAGGAAGTAGGAAGTAAGGGCTTCAGTATAGCTCAGTCATCTGTTTTGGACCAGCAGCAGCATTAGAGGCAGTAGCAGCAGTAATAGCAGTGCACTTAGTCATAGCAGTGATGGGAGCCTTAGCAGCAGTGCAGTTACAATAAAAGCGGTGTTAGCAGAAGCATTAACAGTAGAAGTAATAGTCTGCAGGAGTTACAGCAGTAGTAATGAAATTGAAGTTATTGTAGCAACAGCTACAAGTGTTGGGGGGGTTACTGTTTAAATGTAATTAAGAAATATGGTTATTATTTAATTTATTCCTGATTGTAGGATAAATGCAGACAGTGTTTAAGTTCAAGATACACTTTAAATTAATGAACTTCAATTAATTGCTAGTGTAACCTTAAGTATTTTAGTCATCTGAACATGCAAAGATGTAAAATGTGGCTACTGGCAAGCATACAATGCAACTATAAATAATCATTTCAATCAATAAATATTTACATGAGCTAAAATGGAGTACATTTTTTAAGGGCATTCTCTGGAAAAGGACATTTTGAAATGAAAATGACCTGAAATAAACATTTTTGTGAAGAGAAGAAGGATGAAATAACATTTCATAACAATGAGCATCATTTTAACTTTAATTGTAAGTGCACAAAGATAACCAGAAAGTTTGACTTGCATATGTATTTTTTCAGATGGCATCATACAATGGTTTAATGCCAAATATTGTATAATTTGTCTGCCATGTACCTGTTGTGTAATGTTGTAGCCTATAAATGTAGAACATATGTAGTTCCTGTGTTCTGAAGTTGTTACCAATGGTCTCCACTAGATGGCGATATTGTATTGAGCCAGACCAGCTGACATCACTCCACTACATCACATGGGGCGAAAAAAATAAATATATAGGCCTATATTATTTTGTGGCGACTAATGTAATATTCACCCAACAAAGTCAAATAACTAAAATGTATAGTCTGTCAATTAATTTGTTCTAAACAAAACGACTAGTTATTAGTTGTGTTACAGAAACATCTAACTACACTGCATCATCAACCAAAGAAGGTGTGGTAATCTCTTACAGATGGAGCCTGCACAAACAAAACATGGAACACACAAAATAAGAACAAATTTATGATGTGTCCAATAAATAAATAAATATGAATTACACATAAATTTAGGTCTACCCTACCGAATGTTTTCACTGGGGCTCTCCCAATGAAATAGAATAAACATACAAACATCCCCTAACTTTCACCTGCCCCCCAAATCATTTATTTTAATCCCAAAAATAAAATCCTTCATAAGGACTCACTAATTAAACTGTCCTGGTATGCCAGTAAGCTTTATTACACAGTTTTGGAGACACAGTCCAGTAAACGTGATCCCAGTAAGCCTGAGCGGAAGTTTGGCTTTCCTGGGCAGGAAATTGTCAGCAGTGTTTTTGTTGCTAGTGGGGACTGTTGTGTTGTGAAAATGGCGACGCCTCGTCGCACCTCTCAGCAGCAGCAGCCAAACTCCCTGCTGTCCTCCCCGCCCCGCGGCTCCTCTCTCCCCGGCAGCCCCCCTGGCTCTCCGCCGGCACCCACCAACGATGTCACCCCGCTTCCCCAGAGAGGCGCGATGGAGAACGCGGCTGACGGTGAGGTAACCCCTGCCTCTCCCACCACCACCTCCCCAGCTCTGGCCCTCACCGCCAGCAGCAGCAGCAGCAGCAGCACTAGCAGCAGCGCTAGCTCCCCGACCACCACCGAGGGTAGCGGGACCAGCCCCGGCTCTACGCCCGACTCGGGCAGCGGTAACCCGGGTAGCAGTAGCAGCAGTAGCAGCAGCAGCAGCGGTGGTGGTGGTGGTGGTGCAAACGGGGCTTTCAGGGAGCTGTTCGAAGCCTGTCGAAACGGGGATGTTTCGAGGGTGAAGAAACTCGTGGATGCGGTGAATGTGAACGCTAAAGACATGGCTGGACGCAAATCTACACCCCTGCATTTCGCTGCAGGTAACAGTAACCACAACGAAAAATACCTTTCAAACAAGTTAAAGTCTCTGCAGACTGTTAGTCCAGCTGGGGGGGGGGGCTGCGTTCAGGGGGTGGGAGTGACCAGAAAGTAGCGAGCTAATATTGGCTATAAGCAGAGCCGCTAGCTGTTGTTTTACCACAACAACACTTATCAGGATGGTGTTGGCAGACAGCACAGGGAAGCTGAAATGCCCCAACTCAGAACACAGCCCAGTTCATTTTCAGAAACATTTGATGTTTAACATTTACCTTGTTGGGCCCACTTTTATCAAATAGAAAGGTAATCTTTATTTCTGTGGTCAAAATCAATTCAGAAACTATAAGTTAAATGTGCCATCCAATGTTTTAGGCCTCAGTCACACCAGAAATCAAATCAAATAATAAAGTTTAAAAGGACACCACATAATGTGTATGGGCAGAGCAGTGACACTGTTACTAACCTTGTTGTAACTCATTTTGTTCCTCTTTTTTTTTTTTTTTAAAGAATATTCACTTATTATATGCAGTAGTAGTTGGACAATTTGATTTAAATGTATTTGGAAATTGTCTTTAACACCTAGAAATAACCTTAAATCGGGGATAGGGCTGACATTTCAGCAGCATAGTAGTTGGACAGTTGTTTTTGTGTTAAGAGATGGATGCAATGCCAACAGAAAGAAACAATACAGCAGTGACATATGTGATGTGTATATCGCTTGTATTAACAACATATTAAAGTCTGTGGTATTGTCTTTAGAGTAAGGTACCTGGCGAACAAATGCATGCAAAATGCACAAGTAATTAATGTGACCTCACTCCTCTGTCACAGTCTGTGGCAGGTGAATGTTATTAATTATTAATGAATCTGATGGAATTTGCCAAAACTGCTTCAAAAGGTTTGCAACCATGCCTGCAACAACACAACCAAGGTGGTTTCAACTCAGAATTATCTACGAAAGCTTCTTAACACCTGCTATATTTAAACTAATCTCTACTTGTTTGCGGACCAACAACAGTTATGCAAAGTGCTCATCTTCACTTGTTCCAGACTTGACTGTATTAAATTTCATCAGTGCAGACAACAGGATAAAATGCACAGCTGTTTTACATCTCAGGCCTTCCTAATCTTCAGCAGCCTGAACAAGAACAGATTCTCTCGAGTCTCACTGCACGTTTGTAGTGAAGACATAACGAGCCTTCCTTGTGCAGCACTCTCCCAAACAGCTGCTACAAGTGCCTCACAGAACAAAATGTATTAACAGAAAAAAAGACAATTTAGAGTTAAGTGTTAATTATTAATTATTAATGTGAAGCAGGAATCAAACTGAAAACAGGTACAACAGAAGTGAAGCTGGGCATAAAATGAACGGCATGAAATTACAGAATTTCATGAAACCTCTCTAAAATCTTCTGTCAGAGTTGGCGATTTGTTTCAGTCCTGCACAAAAAGTTTCGTGCAAGAGTTTCTACTGTTTCCTTCATTGTTGTTGTGACATAGATCTCCTTGTTCCCGCTACTCTCTCCACTTCAACTCTCTCCGATCTTTACTCAGGTTTTGGCCGGAAAGATGTGGTGGACCATTTGCTTCAGACGGGTGCTAATGTGCACGCAAGGGATGATGGGGGTCTGATCCCGCTTCACAACGCCTGCTCGTTTGGTCACTCCGAGGTGAGAGGTCACAAGGCAGTACTAGTATGTTGTTATATTCACATTAGGGGTGTTTATTTTGTCCGTTTTGCCTCTTCAGTTATTCACAGTGCTGGAATGTAACTAAGTGCATTTATTATTGTACAAAGTACATCTTTTGTAGTAGAGTATTTGCATTTTGTGAAACATTACACCTGTACTCCACTAAATCCCAGATGGAAATATTGTACTTTTTAACTACATTTGTTGTCCATTGAAAACCATGAGTCTCCAAATTTTCTGATTTTGAATTTGAACTTTTCGAAACTGACAGATTAACAATTCAAAACCCTTTTGGATTAGCTCTAAAATGCATTATCACAGAGCTGAAAAACAGGGCTGTTTTTCAGTGATCATGAAAAATGCTTCTTACAGATACTTACTTCTCACAAGACGACAATGCTACGAACAAATGACAATCTTATAGAATATGATGCATTGATGCACATTACTTCAGTAAGATTAATTCAAAATATCTATCTATCGATTAAAAATAGCACATTTTACAGACATTTTACTAACAAAAACACAACAATTCTTATATTCAGGTGATTGTACACTAATAAAAACATAGCTATAACCTAAAATTAGCCCAACCATAAATATCTAGAGCAGTGAAATGCACCATACACATTCATGCAACAGTAATATTAATTGAAAAACATCATATGTAATAGTAAAACACTGACAGGGGCCATTTTACTGCAGAATGAGTACTTTTAATACTTAAAGTACATTTTGCTTGTAATACTTTAACTTAACTGAGGTTTTAAATGCAGGACTTCTGGTGGAGCCTTTCACAGTGTGGTACTACTACTTTAACTTAACGCCCCACCAAACCGTTAATACTTCAGTAGAATTTAAATGATTGCAGGTGATAAAAAAAGTTGGGGAGGCAGTTTTGTGCTCAAGAATTGGTGTGGTGGTAAAATTCAGAATGGATGTTTGGAGTAAATTGCAACCATTGTTGCTATGAGAGTAAAAGATGATTCTGTCCAAACATGTAAATCAGCTCTGTTTGCCTGTACACCATAATGTGCACAGTCAGCCTTAAAGATCACATTGAGGAAACCTGAATATTCACTCTCACCGCTAGCTCAGTATTCTGGTCATGCCTATGCGTGATGATGTTTTGGAATATCTGTGACAGATGTGCTAATGCTTTTTGTCCTCCCAGCCATTAACCACGGTGATCAATCCAATGTTTACAGTTACTTTCGGAGGCTTTTAGAGCTTTCCAGGAGAGCACTTTGCCACCTTGTCAGAAAAAAGTGCTGTGCTAATGCAACTGCATGATCACAGTGATGATTAGCATTGTGATGAGAATAAACACTGTCCAAACCTCTGAAAGTGGTTGTTTGCTTTTATATCTTTTTTTTTTGTGATTGTGTGATTGTGTGATTTGCACACTTTGACCTAAAGTGTAATGAGTGGCAGTGCAATGTTAGGTGTAGGGGCCCCGCTCTCATATTGTTGAATCTCTCTTCAGTAAAATGGAGGATTAAACCCTTAATGTTGGGAACGAGTCACTACCTGAAGTAAAGGCGCGCCTGGGCATCTTTTTCCCCCCCTGAGCAAAAAGGTTAAGAGTGTGAGATTGACAGGCACATTGTTGTTGTTTTTTGCCATATAAAGAGCAAGCGATGTAACAGATGTGTGTGTGTGTGTGTGTGTGTGTGTTGTTTTCAGGTAGTGTCCTTGTTGCTGTGTCAGGGGGCCGACCCTAATGCTCGAGACAACTGGAACTACACACCACTCCATGAAGCTGCCATCAAGGGCAAGATAGATGTCTGTATAGGTAAGCACAAAAACACATGCTCCCAATATTGTAGGCTATGCAAACATGAATATGTATAAATAACTCATGTCTGATTACATAGTGAGCGTCCTTTTTGAGTTATCCTTTTAAATTCTCTATTGGTTTTGAAGTATGGTGTTTGTGTCCCTCCAAAGTCACAACCTGGAGTTCTGTGTAATGGCACAGTAATTTTAGAAACTATAATAAACCACCCACAGACTATACGCTATTATTTTCCATTAAGCATAAAGCAGCAAATAACCTATAAATTGCAATTACCGTGTTACTGCTTATTTTTAAGCCCACACAGGGGACAAAAGAGCATTGATTTCTGCATCTTACAATATATGAGCTCCCACCAACATTGTACTTTTCATTTAAAATGTATAAAATAGCACCACGGGCTCAGTTCAGTGAGGACATCCGTGGCAGCAGTTGATCTTTAAAGGTGAATTGAATAATAGAGAGGCTGCATTACTGATCCCTGGAGGAAAATGTGAAGTAGACATGACACGCCACAGTACGAAGAGTGTCTGAGCAGTAAGTCGTAGGATAATCTTCATGATCTTAATGGGAAAACATCACTCAGTGTGAGTAGTAATAACTGCAGTGATGGTCGGCGTCACCTTGCTGCCAGTGTGGGTCTGGAGTGCCGAGAACAACAAGGAGGGAAAGTTGCTCCAGTCATTTTTATTTCTCCAGTAGCTGGTGCAGAGTGTCTGGGCCCTGAATGACTGCATAGCAGCAGAGGGCTTTGTGGAGCTCTGGTGATCACCGTGCACAAACGTCACCCTGTTGTTCAGCCTGAGACCTGTTATTGATTTATCAACAAAAGTGAATGACAGACTGAAATTGAGGTAATAGAATGTGTCTGTTGTCTGCCTTTGACTTCAGTCATCCATGCTGTCTGTTGGTAACCATTAAAAGCAGCAGAAAAGGGTCTTGTTTTTGTTTTTTATGTATCTATTTGGAAGCAGGTCTTCACAAATCAAGTAGTGTAGCACAGTGATAACGATAATAGCACAGTAATGTAAAACAGCATCATCATTTTGCTTTGAGTGCTGGAAATCTGTACTCAGGTAGTCCATAGCTGTAGGTGTGCATCCAGCCTGTAAAGCTTTCAAACAAGTACCTGAGCAATGTGGTGAGGTCCAACTACTCAGATGGACCTATGCAATTTTGGTCTAAACAGCATTAAAGGTTAAAGGTTTGTTTTTAAGGCTAAATTTGTTGCATTTTATATTTAGTTTGCCGTCCTGGCTGCACAGTTACAAGCAAACTAAGGCACGTAAACAAAAGTCACATGAACTCTAGCGGCTTGTTTATTGGAGAGAATTTTTGCTATCCTGTCACCCTGCCAGGTTAGAGATTTGGCAGCAGAATGAGAGTCAAATCAACTCTGATTCGACTGTAACTTCAGCTCAGCATGATGGACGCTCCGTCCACTTCTCTGGTGCTCAGACAACTTGAGTAAGAAATTAATCTCTCATCAACAAACTTGGGATAAGAAGATCCTGGAAATCCTAAGACAGCCATACGATTGGCTCTGAGTTTAAAAACGACCGCCTCCAAAACGGCAGTTTAGTGCATGGTTTAACTGTGTCCTCACTTCACGTCATTTTACTGGTTATTGTTATGATCACATGAGTCTCCGCCCTTTCTTGGCCAGCATTTGATTTAGAATTTCACTGATGTCAGTAAGGTGGATGAGATGGATGGATATTATTTGGTTTTTGTAAAGCACTTTGTAATCACTTGACAAGGGTTATATAAATAGATTTCTGGAATATCTGTGCCCTTATACCCTCAAACCCCCGCTTTGAGTGTTATTATGGATCCACTGTTTATTATTTGGTTGAATTAAATTGGATTGGATTGCGAGATGCCTTGCCCAGGCTACAATGGCTCCAGTGCATCGTGTTAAGGCTGAAACTAATGAGTATTTTAATTATTGATTCAAGACTTCTTTTAATGAAACATTTATTTTATAAAATGTCTCATGGCCCCCAGGTGTTGTCTTCCTTTTGCTTGTTTTACCCAGAACCCAAAGATATTAAATTTACAATGCTGTCAAATAGAGAAAACTGTAAGCATCACATTTGAGAGGCTGAAAGCACAAAATGTTTTCCTGGATGACTGAATGACTGAAAAAATGTATCTGTTCAAATTATAATATCAAATGCACTGTTGAATCGTGTTTGATAGTGTCAGCACTACATTTGGTGGAGACACCCTGTCTGTTTTTTTTTCATTTATGTGTTGCTCTGCATTTCTGCTTTGTCAGTTTTGCTTCCAGTTCTTTCATGTTCACTTGTATAAAACTGGCAAAAAGAAATGTTTAGACCAACTAAAAGGCTTTTACTGTGAAGCAGCTGCAGGAAGTGTTACATAACATTTCACCTGTTTGCTGTTTGACCGTTGCTGTCTGCTACTTTTCTGCTTCCCATTGGAACACCACACCTCACATAAACGTGGATATCTGTGAGTTTATTGTTACTGATTGGGCATAGACATTGGAGATTGTCATAAGATAACTGTTCCAAATCTGACGTTGTCCTCAAAACTAATCCTGTCCAAAAAAGGGATTAAGGTTGCTCGGAGAGGGCTTTTGCAGGTATTACAGGCCAGACATGCCCATTAGAGACAAAAATTAAAAGACAAATTTAGACGTTGACAAGGGTTCAGACTTGGGTGAACAACTCTAACCTGTATATGGGTTTCTGTGTGGCTGTGCATCTGTCATTTCACTCTCTGCCTCAATATGGGCATATCTTTATTCTCTCACCATTGGGTATCAGTATATATGTGTGTGTGTGTGTGTGTGTGTGGGGGGGGGGGATTGGTGCAGAGCTAAATCATATTTTTGTTGAGGGGTGAGTGGGTGACTAAGGTCTGCATCAGTGCCGGGGCAGAGGCACATGCACATGCACATGCACATACATGCATACAGTATACACACAAGCCCCGTTTTCTCCTCTCTTCTACCCTCCTCTCTTGCCGGGGTTGAGCCGGGTGCTTTGAAGTGTACACAAGTCAAAGGGCATGTGCACCAGGGACTGCTTAGCAATCACAACAGCGGGGAATGAGATAGAGAGGAAGGCAGTGAGAGTATTGACATTAGCCCCCTCAGAAGAGCTTATTTACAAAAAACTGAGCGCAGGCAGAGTTTGTTATTCAGCTCATAGCTCTTCTGTAGTCGCATGACTCTCTCTCCTCTCCTCTTTCTCTTCTCCTCTCTTCTCCTCCCCTGCCCTTACCTATCCTTTCCTTTCATCCTGCCCTTTTCTCCTCTTCCTTCTTCTGTCCTCTCCTTTCTCCTTCCTTCTCCTCTCCTCTGCTTTTACTACTCCCAGCTCCCTCTCACAAACACACACACGCACATAACACTCTTGTTTTGCTCTCCCTCCCGTCTTTTTGTCCTCTACCTCTCCCATCCTCCCTGACTCTCAGCCCCCCTCTCCCCCCTCCCCTCTCCTCCTCCCCCTCGCCCCTCTCATCCTGCTCTCCGCTGCATCGCTCAGTCAGTCGGAGAGGCGAGAGTCTCTCCACTCACACCGCCTGCCCGCCTCGTCGCTGCTGCTTCTGCTCCTACCCCGATTAGCTGTAGCCACTCGTCTCTCTCTTCCTCACTCATTTTTATTTATCTTCTCAGCTTAACTCTAGCCTTCCCTCCCTCCTCCGTGGAAGTGTGATGTGTTTTCTAGCTGGTCACGTAGCCGCTTTGTAAGGTCCGCTGTTTCTCCGGCTGGGTGCTGTAGCGTAGCTTCTCGCTGCTCTTGTTGTGGCATGTCTGTTTACATCAGCAGCATGGCTCGCAGGGCAGGGGCAGCCAGGGGCAGCCGAGGGAGCAGCGCTAGCAACAGAGGAGGAGCAGCTGGAGGAGGAGGAGGAGGAGGAGGAGGAGGAGGAGGAGGAGGAGGAGGAGGAGGAGGAGGAGGAGAGAAATGTGAAACAGGACATGCAGAAGGGCTGCCAGGAGAGCCAGGAGACACAACAAGAGGAGGAGGAACAGGAGGGATAGCAGAGGAGCAAGGGGGAGAAAAAGGAGGAGGTCCAGGGAGAGCAGTTTATGGAGGAAGATGTGGTTCAGCGGCAGGAGGAGGAGCAGGGGGAGGTGGAGGACTAGGAGGAGGTGTGTGTCGGGGAGTTTGCATGTCAGTCCAGGAGCTCAGCTACTGTCTGTGTCTGCCCTGTTGTTGTACAGTGTTACTGCAGCATGGCGCCGACCCCAACATCCGCAACACCGATGGCAAGTCCGCCCTGGACCTGGCTGAACCCTCCGCCAAGGCCGTGCTCACAGGTCAGTCCCCTGTCTGTCTGTATATCCGTCCGTTAAATGCCACACACACACACACACACACACACACAGGTCAGTACGTGTCTGTATTTCTGTCCGCCTTATTCTCTGTGGCTCGAATTCTGTTGCAGATTGATTGTGTTTGTTTATCTTTCCCGTTCTTAGTTTCTTGTTTGCTTTCTCCGTTTTCTGTCTTTTTACTCTAAGCCGACGATTTTCCACTTCTATCTTAATGTCTTGACAATTTCCCCACAACTTTCAAGCAACATTCATTTCCTGATTTTGTCCGAGGCTGCAGGCAGTATCACCGTTTTTTCTCTCCATATCAATCTATCATTCTTATTTTGCAAGGTCGTGCCGCTCATGCGCTCACTACGCTTGTTATTCAGCTTTCATGTCCAAGGCTGTACACACATTGGTCACTACATCACATTTTCTTCATTCTGCTCTCTGCCTCAGTCCGAGGGTCAAAAGTGTGTTTGTGTCCTTGCTTTTTTCTCTGTTCTCATTTTCTTTTCTTTGACTTCCTTTTCTGGCTGAGGCTGCAGTCATTGATCAGCTACTTAAAAAACTTGCTCTCTGTGTATTTTGGTTTGCTTGCCATTCTTTTCCTTCCTTGCTGCTTCCTTCCTTCCTTCCTTCCTTACTTCCTTCCTTCCTGTAATGTCATGTCTTGCCGAAAATAGAGGAATAACCAAAACAAACGCAGCAGACCTTTACCGAGCAGGGTTTTCTCTAATACAACACAATGCTGCGAACAATGACAGATTGAAAATATATTTAAATGCACTTCGAGACCGCTCTAGTGTGGCCTCATGGGGAGCCTGGAAAGTCCTTCATTACCACCATCACCATCATCATTGTCCTAATTTTGTTTTGGCCAGTTTTCGCACCAAAATATTCAATGTTTCCCTTCAATAAAACCGCACAAAGAGGCTTTTACACCCTTAAAAGCAAAACAATCGATAAACTCATTGGGGAGCTTTAGTGGCCAACGTGGGACACTGAAACTTTGCAGTGGAACTCAGACTAATTACTGGTTTTTTCATTGTTACAAGCCCTCAAAGGCAGCAGGACTCATTACACTTGCTCAGTGGTAGAGGAACCACTGGGACACAGTTACAGACTTTAAACGAGGAACTAATTAAAAATATATGTCTTTTTAAATAAATTATTTTCAGTATATTTTTTTGTATTTCTCCTTAGTTAGACAGCTTAAAATACAGACGGAGAAGAACGTTTTGCAGGTTTTCAGGCCTGATTTTGTTTGGCTCACTACGTGTTGGTGTTGTACGTGTCAGCTGATGGGTTGGAAGCGTTGAAGACGGGGTTCTTATTGAACTCAATTAGTTTTTGTTTGCAGAGGTGGATGAGTAAAGAGAATTTAAAATTCAAATCTCTTCCTGCGTTCATTGTCTCTCTCTGTGGTTATTGACGTAGGCTCTGAATCAGTTTTTGCAGCAGCACGCCTGTGTTTACATCATCAATTTCATTTGTTAGGCCTCTGTGGTAAATGAAATAAACCTCCAGATATCACAGCGAAGAGCTGCGCGGTGTCAAAACATTGGGGGGGGATTTACCACCAGCCGCCCTGTGAAAAATTATTGTCCTTGCCAGCTAGAATTGAAATGAGGTAGTTCGGTGCCAGAATTATTGAACATTGCTGCATATGTCACAGTTAGCCCGTTCAGCCCACCTCAGTATCGCCCGTGATACAAGTTTTACAACGGAGCTGTCTTGAAAGTGCCATTCATCAGCAGTAAAACTAGGAGATTTAGCAGAGGTGTAATTTAATTGATTTTAGTCTATATGTGATAGAAAATGTTTACACTCAATTAAATATGAGAGTGTGCGTAAATACATATAGTAAACTGCCGGAGACAGACTTAAACACAGTGCTGCTTACAAATTGTGTTAATTTATTGACACTCCACAGTAGCAGAAGTCAAAGATGACACCAAACTGAGGATTAAAGTGAACTCTATCTAACTCTGTCTAGTGCTGAAAGAAAGACGTGAGCAGTATCTGTTATTCAAAGGAGGAGCAGAATAATTCCAGCAATATTATGTTGTGATATCTTAATTAAGGGTTTTTCAAAGTGCGAGGCGAGAGTGGAAGGGGGTGCGCGGAGGGAGAGATATTAGGCAAAGGTACTGCATGAGGTGAAAGGGACAGCTGCATGTCAGTGCAACAAGAAGTTAGTTATTGTATTTTTACCTGCTGACTTGGCATGCTTCCCAACAGGCAGCCCTTGCAGCAGTGGCTTTGACACACAACTCATGGGGGCAATTAAGGGGCTTAAACTGCTAGATCTGAATGCAAAGACATGAGACACATATTTGTAGATTCAATCTGACTTGCACTTTTTTATCTGCAATGTCCATCCATTGATAAACGTTTATAAATCTGCTTAGAAATCCTAGTGTAAACAATTATTATGCTAAAAAACATTGCAGTTGTCTTGGTTTTGTCTGAAGATTAAATAAATAAAATTGAAAATTTAAATAGTTAAAAAATGGATATATGATGCAGATCCAAATCCCATTCAACACTTTTGGTGATTCTTTACCTGTGAGAACCTGCTGAATTTAGATTCACAGTGCAGCAGTTTCCTTCTCACATCACATTCATTTATTAGGCAGGGTATTTCCTGTGAGGCAAAGGTTAGTCATTGGTGGCCCACTAAACCTTGATTTATTTTTTAAATGGAAATTAGTTTTAAATAAATGTATGATCTACCTACTGCTTAAACCTCTATAATGGAGGAAATAGAATAAAAGTGATTTGGAGAAAAAAAATTGATTGACATAAGATAGGGGCTGTAATAGACATTCTTCAAGACATTTTCACTTGTCATAGTTAGGAAAGCACAGGTGTAGTTAATAACATTAATTCATTGAGCCATGCAAGTGAGCCAGCATTCACAGTACTGGGATGCAGCACTGGATCACCAAACTGGAATGTGGCCTTAATTAAGGTTATTAATTACAACTGTGCTTCCCTAAGACATGTCAAAATGTCTTCTGTGAACAGTGCTATTAGAAGGTTGCCAAATGATAAATACGGATATGGTATAGAGTATAGTGCTTAAAACACACAAAATGTGAGCAAATACTCATTGTTTCACTCACGTCTAAGCCTTCAAACGAAGCCAGATGGGTGCGTTTTGAAATTTTAATGAAAAAGACAATGACGGCACATTTACAATGACGGATAAACGTTATCCTACTTTTCCAACATCTGCTGTTTCCAGAGGCATCCACCGTTGCATTCGGGTGAAAATCAGCAGCTAACAGAGAAACTAGTTGATCCATAACACCAGTAATCTGACTCCCCCCCCCATCATCAGCCCCCTTCCTCCTGCAGTGGTTGTTCTGTATTCTGTCTGCGGTTCAGATTTGACAAATTTACCGCATCTTGTTAGTAAGGTGAAATATGCTTTTAATGGCCGGCACTAATTATCTAAACTATCGTCCTGTTACATTGTCTTTTCACCCAGCGCCACCCAGGAGTGATTCCAGTATTGTAATTACTGTTGGCAGCGAGGCATTTAATGCCATGCTCTTGAAGATGGTTTTGTTATTGTCAGCACGGTTTTGGTAAAAAGCCCATTAAATTCTCTTTCCAAGTAAATATGAACACATATGATGTAAGTTTGTATATTTGTAGCCTCTTTATAATCTCCTTCAGTGATACCCTGCATGAGTCTTTTTCTCCTATATGTTCTGTGTCTACCATATAGAGGGTCTGCTCTTCATCTCTGCCGCAGGCCAGCAGAGCTTTCAGCTTCAGTCTGTGGTGATGGAAGTTTATATTGACCCATAAATTAGCTCTACTGCCCTGCCACATCCAACAAACTGCTCCCAGAAATGATAGACTCTGTCCCCTGTTAGCTGGAGATGTGAAACGGAAAGACAGAGAAAATTAGTTTTTTTTTTAAAGCAGCTTCAAACACCCCACATGCCACACATTTTAATTAAGTTTTTCATCGTACAGTTTGTTTTCCTGATCAGGGAGAACATGTCGGAATGGGCAGGGCAGTGTTGATTGTCAGGTCTTTTTAAGTCCCTCAGACGCTCCACAGATATTCCCCTTTTTCATGCTCAAACAAGAAATTGTGCAGTTAGGTCCTTCACAAGTATGAGACACCACTATTCACACCTAACCAGGAGGAGGCACACTCACATTGCACACAACACGTACATAATTTGATGACAAAGGCCTGGGCGGCACGCTTCTCATTATTATTTCCAGTACATTGAGCTAGTAAGGACAAGCTCAGGGAAATTAGTATGTATAGTATTACCTGTCAGAATCTGCTGTTGCAATATTAGTAACACAGTAAATAACCAATTAAGTCTGATTCTAATGTAAATTCTTCAAAGCTGGAAGAAAAAAACCTGCAGGTAAAACTCTCCTCATTACTCCTGTTGTGCTATTGTACTGTAAACGCTTAGACTTTCAAGTTAATTATATTGTTCCTTATCAGGTTACAGAGAAGGGCATGCTCAGATTTGCTTTGAGATTAGCTTATCGCTAAATGGTCACTGGCTCCTCGAGCTAAATTCGGACGTCCCGCAGTACACAGCATTTATCAGATGTTGCTGCAAAGCTGCTATATTTTGACCTGATTTATAGTCCTGCTTCAATGTGGAGCAAGTTGAGGAATGCTAGACAAATTTGCATTTTGTTATGAAGTCATTTTCAATGCAACCACTTTATCACAAAGTGAATGAGAGAATGTTCATGTTGGGTAGCCTGTATAATCAATTACGCACGACACGCTCGGTTACATGTTTTGATGGACACGTTTTTCACAGAATTCCTTTAGAACCAGAATACAGTGGACTTAAATCGAGTGTGACTTTTACCAAACAGCCACTGTGGCCACCAAGTGACTAACAGCGGGAAACAGTGAACATTAAAAAGCGTCGAGGCTGGGTTCTGGTAGAAAAGAACTAGTTCATACAACAAGTTGTTCAAGCGAGATAATCCACATTGAC